CCACTGGCTAAACTCTCCCACTATACGGCTCTGCATTGCAGTAGTAGGTTTTTTTTATAGTCTTTAGAGTTAAATGTGAATATTTGACAGAAATCTCCCAGGTTGGGGTGAAAGAGGGTTAAATGAATGCATTTGATCATTCGCCTTAATTCGGTACCCATCATTTCAAGGCCTGTGTGGCCTTGTCCTTGGGTGTGTCTATGACTGTGGCTGTGAAGGAGCAGTTTTTTAATAGGTACAAGTACAAAGTATAAAAACAAAAGGATCTATGTTCTGATCATGAAAGAATATGCTAGCCATTCTAACGTAGCTCTGCCAAGTACTTGATTGTGATTTGTTTTTATTTCCAGCTACTTGGTTGCCTCAAGATCTGGAGATCCTAGTGGCCACAAGCTTGGACTCAATCTTCTTCTGTGGTCCGGCCAGGACCATGGGGGAGGTAATCCCAGCAACAAGAGCGTCACAGTATCTCACTGCCTGTGACTTCCAATTAGCATCACGACAAGGGAGTCCTCATGCCACCAAGTGTTAGGTATGCTACTCGAAATAAGCATTCTTACCTATTCTTGAAGTGAAACAGCAAAAGCACTACTAAGCCTAAAATGCAAAAAACATTCAAATCTCGGGTTGGTTTGAGTTCCAATTACAAAAAGGCGTCTGCAGACATGATTCACATGTGAACTTAAAGCCCACGGATGTAGGTTCGACAGAGTCACAGAAATAACTTCCCGCAGATGGCTTCGCTAGTGCCATACCCAAACAAATTCTTAAAATAATCATTGTGTTACGTTGGTGTCATTAATCTTATGTACCTACCCCACCCAGCAGTCGGGAGATGTGAAATATAAAAAAAAATGGGAACTTGCACATTGTCAGCTCTGCAAAGATAATATATTGAACCAAGCATAGCACGTTCAACTTAAGAAAGCAATTCAGTGCAGGCCTAGTTTTAAGCTTCACATATTTGTTATTGCCCTTCATAATGAAGTAAAAACTGCTTAAGTTGTGGCCCACTACAGGCTTTCTATTAGTGTTAAAAAGTGTTATGGCAGTTTAAACAGCTCGCTCCAAATATTTTCTTGAAATGCATAGGTTTATTATTATGTGGATGTTTGCAGACAGTCATGGTGAGACCAATCTTTAGTGCCAAGTGTTCCACTTATTGAGAGTTGGTTGAGTCTGTAAATATTGTAGGTCGCAAATTAAATTTTTATGGTATGCAATGGGCACAATCATCCGTAATGACTAGCTCTACCTAGGGGAACTTTATACGTTTACTACGTCAAGATGGTTTCACAAAACTAAGTATTTAGTTTATTGAACTCCTGCACTAACCTTATCTCTAGAAACTGTTTATATTCTTTTTGCGATGCTGAGTTAGGATTCTGGAAGTAGTTTTTCTAGAACTACGCTAGACATTTCGAGTTCATAATTTTTCTCGCAAAGAATTCAAGAGAGCCAAACCCTGTAATATACGGATGGAACTCGCAGAATGATACGACTGGCAGTTTGAAACATTCGGCACTGTAACAGTAACAATGACATGTCACTTGCCTATGTAATGCTCATTGTCGCAGATCAAACTGCTTTTTCCGTCTGCACTCATTTTCAGTGGACTCATTCAGCGAACTCGCACCCGAGACTGCAGCGCTGGGTTCTGCGAAGTAATTTGCATGAATATAGATGCAACAGGTTTCTTTGAGTGTGCGTCTAACACGTATTCTTCATATTGAATCTGCTACTGTATTCATGACCATGTCCTTAATTGTATCCACATTCCAGCTTATTTTTATTTTGACATTTGAGTTTTCTTCAGTACTTTTCTCAACATCTGTGCTTGTCGAGCCGTACTCAAGACCATTAATCTTGTCTTTCACTATTCCATTAATATATAAAACTGTTGATGCCGAGTGAGAATTCAAGGTCCCGAATCTGTCGTGCGAGTTAAATAAGAACCAATAAAAAGCTCTACAAAGGAAATTTTGTTAAAGGAGGCTGTATAAGCATTAAAATAGCACATGCCATGCTAAAAAAAAAATACAAATTCTTGTTAGGTATGCAAGGATGACACTGCTGTTTCTGATGTGTCACAAAAAAAATCAGTGCCATACAGTGTCCTTATGGAAGTACAAACTGTCGAATTCAAAGCCCAGAAGTTTTATTCAAGAATGTTCCTCAATACAAATGTATTTAGAGATCTGAGCCACTGACTCATACATGACTGTGGCGAACATTCATTTTCATGTGCATTATAGTTTACAAGGTCTAGTCTGCATTGATTTATTGCATTCATGCTGAAACTGGGAGGGGTTCTCTGGGTATGAATAAAGATATAAACATTTCTTGAAATCAAAACATTTGAGACCGGACAAAAGGAAGGATCTGAGAACGGTATCTTAGATTCTATTCTCTTTTTCTTATCTCTAATTTTCACCTTATTTCACCTGATGCATTTAGTTTTTTTAGCGCAGCTCTTAGCACCCGTTTCCGCGTTTCGCGGCGTTGCCCTCGGCGTAACCGCCCAACTAAACTTGGCAGGAAATTGAATTAATGTTGCGGTCATGTGACGTTAATATTTCCGCTAAGTCTAGCTGAGAAACTGAATTTTTTATGGATGACATGACACGGTCATGCAACGTCATTTTCCCCTCTACTTTTAGCGGGAAAACTACATTTGTGTTGAGGTCATGTGACATCAATTTCCGCACTAAATTTAGTGGGAAACTTAACCCGCTAAATTTAATGGGGAAATTTTCCCGCTAAATTCAGGGAAATGTCCCGCTAAATGGGAGGGAGCAGAAGAGGAGGAGGGGAGGGGGAGGAGGGGCATACACTCCCATCCTCCTCTTCAAGATCTGTGCTCTAATTTCATGTTACAGAGAATTGTAAACGTCTCATATTTCATCTCATGTTTATTCAACTTTTGTATTGCAGGTGCGCTTGCAGCACAAATCTGGGTTGTGCTGATCCTCTACGCACAAGTTAGGAACTCCTGAGTGGCAAGAGTGGGAGTTTGGTCTGACAGCTCAAGGGACACCATTGTTCAGTATTGAATTTTTAATTATCTTCTTTTGAGCAAAGTTAAGCTTTGTTGCTTGCAGGTCTTCTAAAAATAAATACCTACAACCAAATTTACCACGTCACAACATTTTGCCTATGCTCTTAGTGTTCCTGGTGAGCCTCGGATAAGAGCTTACTGGTGTGCAAACATCAAGCTTCTTTGAAACCACTCACTGATGTACACTCGCTGACATCCAGCATTCCAATGAAACACTGGATGTCCACAGGTCTTTCTTGAACAATGCAAGCGGGAAAGGAACCATACAATCGTATCGTATTGGGGGACATTCTAGAGAGTGTTTTTTTTTGTATGTTTTACAGATTTGTTTTAAAAAAGCCGTAAAAGCTACATTTACGCGGTCTGTGCACGTGAGTTATATGGCCAGGGCGGCATAGTATAAAAGGCTAATTTGTAATGATCAGTCAGCTTATTACAGAGATGTGCCAGTCTTCTTTCAGAAAACTAGATTGAGGTTCATTCTAGCATAGTTTTATCTCGCGAATCTGAATATCCCGTTTGTTTTCCGCAAAGATATAACTAAACGTGAGAAAACAAAAAAACATCCTACCGATAGTGACATCGTAAGAAGACCTTTCGGCCGCCAAGCGCGTGGCTTAAGGGCCGCTCGTCCAATCTCAAGTTTTCTAGGTATATTCTCCCGCATTGGCACCAGTTGTGACACATTTTTCTGCCCTTTTAAAAAACAGCACGTGCGTGCATAGCTTTGATAGGTGCTGAAGATGCATGAGCAAAGATTTCGAAAGCCACTTTTATGACGTCGCTCTCCAGGGAAGTGCTTTCACAGCGCTTTAAAAATGACTCTATGCAGCCTCGATTCATAAAATTACCAAATAATTTTGATATTTGAGATTCTGGAGGTCATATGAAGAAGATAAAAGTGTTTTCTCAAATACAAAACCGCTTCAGCCTCTCTCTAAGTATAGTATGTTCCTGAAATTTTTAATCAGTGAAAATAGACCCATGGTTCCAATTAGAAACTTGCTAAGCATCATCAAAACACACTAAATCAACTTTCTTTGTAAAGATATAAAACAAGAGCAGCATTTTATGGCGTTCTAAAAAAATGGTCAATTTGGACGCGTTTCCAGACTTTGGTTTCTTACCAGAGCGCATCTTTGCACCTGCGGTCCTGCTGCCCGGTGGCCGCAGTGCGAAGCCGCCCCCTCGCCTCCCTCGTAGGATGGAGGGAAGCAAGGCGCACGTGCGTTGCGTGTCTAAGGGGGAACAGGACCTTGGGCGCAGTGATGAGCTCTGATAAGAAACTGAAACCTAGAAATTCGTCCAAATAAAGCGTTTTTACAGAACGCGTAAAAGGCTACCCCTGCATTATATCCTTCTAAAAAGAGTTGATTTTGTGGTTTTCAATGACTCAGCAAGTTTCTAATTGAAAGCATATTTTCATTTTCACTAATTAAAAAGTTTATTAACAATTGTGAACATAGAAATTAACAATTAACAAATTTTATTTAATTATCTGACTGATTGTTACGATTAGGTCCCTATACTACGTACGCCTGGCCGTATAACTCGCCTGCACAAACCGCATTAATTTAGCTTTCACGACCTTTCTAAACATATATGTAAAGCTTAAAACTAAATCGCCCTGTACAACAGTGAAAAGGCGAAACCAGCATGTTGGAGCCATATGGCTCCACCGTGCTGGTATCGCCTTTTCGCTGGTATAGGTTGTCCCATATTACGTTATGCATGTATAGTTCCATATGGTTCCGCTATATTCCACTACGCTGGTATAGGATGTCCCATAATACGACACGCTTGTATGGTTCCGCCTACCTGTATCGTTCCGCTTTAATCCACTATACTCCATCTGCCAATTCGCTTGTATAGAATGTCCCATATTACGGTTACGCTTGTATGAGCCTTTTCCGTCATCTTTCCATCATCGAAATTTTCCAACAGGGTTGGCCAGCGCGGAGAGGAGGTGTGCGCGCGCTAGTCTGTGGGCTTTCTCATTACCGGGTATGCCACAGTGGGCAGGGACCCATCGTATGATGAATTGATGGCCGGACGCTCTCAGAGATGAGACGGCCACCTTGAGCTCGTGTAAGGTAGGTCCGGTATATTTGGTGTCCGAGCATATGTGGTGTGCCGCTTGCGAGTCAGTATAAATGATGTGCGTGACTGGTGCGTCTTCCTTTGCCGTAAGAAGTGCGTCGCGCGCATAGTCCGTGATGGCTTGAAGCTCAGCTTGGGTGCTGAGCGGGGGCGTAGCCGTTGTGTGCAGGTATCGTGCCTGTGCTTCTGTGTTACAATTGTACCACGCCGTAGCGTAGACAGCGCATTTGTGATCAGCTGGCAGGGATGTATCGACGTAGATCACGTGGGTGCAATCGTCAAGCGAGCGAAAGTACTTTAAGTGCCGTCTCTTGAGAGAGAGGCGCCTGCCGGTGCTCTGTATCCGCTGAGGTAGAGGAGTCCCGTCGGTGAGGACAATGTGTTCCCACGGCGGGGTCTGTTGTGGGAGTTCGGGCAGATCGTGCACGGCGTAGCCTAGTTTTTCAAGGATAGACCGGCCGGCTGGTGTTGTGCGAAGCCGTGCCTCCTGGATGTTGTAGTGCGCGTATACGAGTTCGCTGAGATCATTAATGCCCCCGCAACTCTTGAGCGCGTCTAGGCGTGTGTACCTGGGAAGGCCAGTAATCAGTCTTCTGGCCTCGTTGATAAGTCTTTCTAGAGCTAGCATCTGAGTCCGATTGACTGGATGATAGGGAAGACCATACAGGAGCCGTGAGACGACAAATGCCTGCACGAATTGCCTCATCTCGCGTTCGCGGACACCACGGGTGCGTGTTGAGATTCGTCGAAGGACGTGTAGGATCTTTTTTACTGATCCAGTCGTTTTCTGGAACCATGTGTTGGCTGTGCAATTTTCGTCCAGGTACATGCCCAGGATGCGAATGGTAGATTTCCTGGTGATGGGTTGGTCTCCGATAGAGAGGTTGTACATGTTCTTCTCGGCTCTCTTGGAGGGAGTACTACGGCCGCCGTGTATGACTAAGTATTCAGTCTTCTCTGGGGATGTGCTGAGGCCAATTTCGGTTGCAAAACTGTAGATAATGTTTAGGGCATTTTGGAGTATGTCTTCCTGCTAGCCGATGGACCCGTCTGTTGCCCAAAGCGTGATGTCATCGGCATATATTGTATGACCTAGTCCAGGCACTGCATCAAGTCGGTGTGGGAGGGTGTGCATCGCCAAGTTGAAGAGAGTCGGTGAGATAACTGACCCCTGCGGTACCCCTGCTTTGTTGGCTCGCGTGGCACTAGTGGCTTGGTCTACCTGCACTTGAAAACAGCGACCTTCCAAAAACGCGGCAATGAAGTTATATAGTCGTCCTTTTAGGCCGGCAGTTCTGGTTTGGGACATGATTGTGTTGTGCGGGACCCCGTCAAATGCCTTTTTAATGTCAACCCCAACGACAGCTCTCGGTTGTGTAGAGTGCGGGTCGAGGACTGCCTCCTTAAGTTGAAGAAGCGCGTCCTGTGTGGACAACCCCGCTCTGAACCCTATTTGCGTTGGGGCGAGAATGACATTATTTTCCAAGTACCATGTAAAGCGCGTATTGACCATCCTCTCCATCGTTTTACATAGGCAGGATGTCAGCGATATAGGTCGGAGGTTGGCCAGGTTATGTGGCGGTTTCCCCGGTTTGGGAATTGGTTTCACCAGAGAGAAACGCCATGTGGGTGGAAGCTTTCCTTCTTCCCAGATCCTGTTGATTTCCTCCAACAGAGCTTGTTTGTAGGTATCTGGGAGGTTTCTCAGTTGTGTCGTGGTGACTTGATCTGCCCCAGGTGCACTGTGTGTGTTGGCAGTGTTAAGAGCGTGATTAAGCTCAAAAAGGGTGAATGGTTGATTGTAGGATTCAAAGTCCTCCACGGGGTCGTCCCTTTCATAGGTGGTAGCGATGGGTTGAGAAGTGCTGGGAAAGAATTCAGAAGCGGCGCGTTCGGCTAGCTCCTGTCGGGTTATCGCTTCTTTAAGGGCCACCCGTCTGGCCCCATTGTAGGTCTTGGTTTGTCCAAGAAGGGACCGTAGTATACTCCAAACTCGGGGTGTAGACGTATTCCCGTTAAAGCCTTCACATAGGGTCATCCATCTCTCAGATGCAAGGGCGGTGGTGTAGTCCTCTATTGTCTGTTGCGTGATCCTCAACTTGCGTTTGATAGAGCGTCTGCGCCCAGATTTGCGGTACTTGGCCAATAGACGCAACCTGCGATTCCAGAGCGTTAGAAGGCGTTTGTCTGGGTCCGGATGATCATAGGGGACTTGTATTCGACGGGTGGCTTGTTGCTTGGCGTCTAATATTTGACCAGTTAGGTGTGCGATATAGCCGCTGGGAGATGTCTCCTCCAGCAGCTTTCGGTATTTGTCCCAGTGCGTCAAAAACGATGGTGTCGTGGCTGTGCGTGCACCTACCGCGCATCCCAGAGTGCGACGGATTTTTATCTTGATCACTATAGGGAAATGATCGCTTCCCATTAGGTCTTCGTGAAGGTGCCAGGTGACGCTGCGCGGGTGTGATGCCCAAGTCAGATCAGGGGTCGTGTCCGCCTGGCGAATAGATTGTCCACTCCGTGTGGGGTCATCGGGGGTGTTGATCAAACTAAGGTGGTAGTTTTGGGTATCAGCCATTACTTTTCGCCCCCTAGGACTGCATTTGTCGTAACCCCATGCTGTGTGCCTTGCGTTGAAGTCTCCACATAGGATTACCTGATCGCGAGGATAGAGCCTATGGAAATGCTGTATAAAACCGAGGTCAATAAGAGGCTTGTGCCCTTTGTTGCGGTTGTACTCCGGGCGTGCGTACAAGGAAAACATTAAAACGGTGTGATCAGTCGTCAATTTGACCCTACACCCTACCGTAGTGGTGGCGCTAGTATTCCAGGGTTCGGTATCCAGTTGGACGTGGTCGAGCGTTCTTAATACGTATAGAGCCACGGATGTGGTCTGCCCGGGATCGTTATAAGACGGGTACCCTTCGTAACCCGGGAGTTTGAGTACTGGGCCATTTACTTCTTGAAGTGCAAGTATGGATGGTCCTTGTGTGGTGCCGTTACAATGAAATTGTGCTACTAGGTCGGCCTTTTCTTTTCGAAGTGTTCGACAATTCCATTGCACGACTGTAGCCCAGGGTGGGTGCCCGGTGGCGAGTGCGCTATTGGAGCCTCAAGGCACACCTCAAGGCAGAATTGACGGCTCTTTAAACGGCAAAACGCAATTTTACACAAATTTAGCTGTTTTTTTTCTGCAAGATATTTAGTTGTACGGCCTGAAACCTTTCTTAGGTAAAGTATACCTAGAAGGCTGTCAACAAGAATATTTACAGTAGCATGCAACAAAGCGATAGTTTGTAACAAAACTGAAAATATGCTGAAATGCTCATATATTCCTTATTTTTTAAAACTGCTTCGAGCATACCAAATTCTATGACCATGATCCTTATTACATAGCAATCCAAATACCGTATGGTTTTAGGCAAAACTATTCCACTGTTCCGTAAAAAAATCTTACTTTTCATCAATTATTAAATGACTCCTAGTTCCACTCCCTTTTTACGAGTTCAAACCACCATTACTCAATGAAATTTGTTTTTCGTCAAAAAATGTTCGAGAAGCACCACAAACATTACGGAGAAGAGCCATTAATTTTATTTTAGGAATCGGAGGTGGCCCTGGGACCTTTGGCATGGCATGGAAAAGTCCAAGTTGCTTGATGCCGCCCGCCGCCAATCTCAAGCAACGAGGCGATGTGGTGTTAACGAATACGCTCCGTTGGAAGCTTACGCCTCGTTTGTGTTTAAATCGGTCTTTGAAACGACATATTCTTCCGTCGCTGAATAGTTCCGCTTTTCACCGCAGTATGCGTGACAATTAGATTTAGCGGCGATATTATCGCGTTTCCCCTTTAGCAGAAGTCCACGTCAGCTGATACCGCTCATATTAGGCACCGCGTTTCGAGCCACCCTCTGGTACAAAGGGCACAGCAGGCTTGCTAATGCTACGCGCTGGCGGCACCTCCGATTATTACAAAATACCCGCCGTTTCTTCCCTTGCAGCAGGAAAGACGGACAAGGGGAAGCGGCAGAAAACGCCGTTCTTTCTTTGGACCTAATCGTGTCAGCTACCGTCGCGGGTGCTGTACGGCGAAGAGGCGTTAAGAAGCGACGCCGGGTTGTGGTTCGAGAGTTCAACTTCAAAAATTGTTTTCTCGCTTTAAACAAATCTTACTTTGATTAAAATTTCAGTATCAAAAGAAAATCTAATATTCTTCCAAACCCTTTATTCTTTGTATTTTTACTTGAACCACCTCAGGGTGAAATAAACGGCTGTTTAAGCGTCCAAACGCACTTTTTTGTAGCATCAGATTTTTTGCTTACTGCAAGATATTCACTTGAGAGGGTTTAAACTTTTGTGTATAGTATATAGCTGCAGGGCAGCCGGTAAAACGTTCTACGAAGTCCTTTTTGATGAAATAACAAAAATGTAAAAATTTTCACAACCGCCTCGGTGGCTCCGACGCGAGAGCGCCGGCCTATGGGATCCCCAGGTGGCGGGGTTCGAATCCCGACCGAGGTGCCCGCAATAGGGAGTTTTCGTAGACCGCGCTGCCCCCTCCGCTAAGCTTTCCGCTACGAAGAAGTTGCTACTGCGCCTGCGCGCCGATAGCCTTGGCTGTGGAGTTCCCGCTATAGTAGCGGGTTGCGGAGGGCCTTGCGGGATGGCGAAAACGATCTACGAAAACTCCCTAATATGACAGAGGCTTATTGCGGAGAAGGCGCCGTGTAACCGAGCTTTCGTTTGCACGTCAAAAGATCCCCAGGTGGTCCAAATTAATCCTCAGTCCTCCGCTGGAGCGTGCCAGATGCCCGTCGCAGGTTTAACACGTAAAACCCCAAAATTTTGATTTTTGTTTTTTTTTAATTTTTAAAAATTTAAGTATTTTTTTTCAAGAAAGATTTAAATTACACAAAACAAGCCCCACCGTAAGTCGAGAGACGCGCAAATTTAAGCAAAAAATATTGTTCGGTGTTTTAAAAAGATGATTATTTCATCAATTCTTGAGTGATGCCTAGTTTCACGTTGTTTTCAAAAATTAAAACCGCGCTCACATCATCAAAAAGTTTCTTTCGTCAAAAAAATTTCAGGGCATGGCTACGGACATGCGGCGAAATGCCATGAATGTTTTTTTTTAAGAAATCGGAGGTGGTCGTGCGCAATGTCTGGGACGTTTGACAAGGAATTACCCTTCAGTGATACCAGAGCAAAGACTTAAATGATACACATATTCACATTCGAGGCACGTCAACCCTGAATCACTATTTGGCCCTTCTTCGTTGCACCTTGGACAAATATTTTCCATAGTTCAGGGTTCAAAACAACACAGTATCAGGAAATGCAGCAGCAGCAGCGGCAGCAGCGTTTTGCGCCACCTGCTGTGTGCTGTCCATGGAAGGAGCGGTTCCTTTTAACTTCGGCCGTTAAATATGACGTAATCTTGTTGATGCGACGTGGACCAACCAGGGCTTCTCAACTTGCGTCTTTGCGGCAATGAACGGTCATAGTTCCACATGTGATTGACCTTCGCTCAATCTGTCGTAAAGTAATCGGCATGCCTCATGCTGATCAAAGAGTGAAGCCCTGCACTTCCAATGACGTCACTTTTTCATTGTTGCCAGTAGAGACTTTCAGTTTGAAAAACACGGTGAGGACCAAAATTGTGAATTCAATAACTTCGTGAAAAAAAATTATTTTGACCTAATATTTAGGATACTATTTTGGCGATGTTGTTTGGCGAGTTTAGCAAAATTTCAAGCAAATCGGGGACCATGAAGAAATCGGCGGAGTTCCCCTTTAAGTCTCAAATTCTGAACAATGAAGGGTGTTTGTTATGTTCGCAATCGTCAAAAAAAAAACGTACAGAGCGAGCGTTGCGAGAATGTGTATTGT